GTAGCTGCGTTACCAGGACATCTTCCTGGTGAAGCCAGCAAAGGTGACAGTGTCTGTCACCACACAGTGTAGCTGCATTACCAGGACATCTTCCTTGTGAAGCCAGCAAAGGTGACAGTGTCTGTCACCACACAGTGTAGCTGCGTTACCAGGACATCTTCCTGGTGAAGTCAGCAAAGGTGACCGTGTCTGTCTCGTCATGGGACCTGTAAATCTAAGCTGACTCAGGAAGGTGGTGTTGACGGGCAGTGCGAAGACAGGGTTTTTATTTTTTCTTTTCTTTTGTTCTTCTTTTTGTAAAATCTCTCACCCCACATATTTTAATAGGAAAACAACTTCCCACAGATATGTAAAAATCGATAAAATTACATACATGCTCCTCTGTGATATTTAAGGCTCCGCTTAAACACAGTGTTACTGCTCTTCTCTGTGTAGCTGGGACAAGGAAACAATAAATGTGGAAGGAATTCCTTGCCAACAGCTGAGAAAGTTACTTCTCTTCTCAGAGCAGTTGGAGGTGCCAACACTGTAGAGGGCCTCCCAGTTTTCTTTAATCTCTGAATCTCAAAGCACCTTGCAGACAATTCCTATTAACACACAAAACCCCATGAAATGTTCCTTCTCCTTAAATTTCCTTTCACATGGCCTTTTCTAGGAAGCAGTAAGTCTAGGCTCCCTTCGCTGAGGTCTTTGGAACTGTAAATGAACAAAGAGGGCTTGATCCTTTCTTTTTTTGTATCATGATTTCTGTGTCTTACGTGGAATGTGCAAACCTCTTGTTCTTGTCCTCATCCCCAGAACGCCTGTGTCCCTGGATGCTTTGATATAGTGAGCATGGCCATGAAGCTCAAATCCTAGACAGGTGGCAGTCTGTTTGTTCCTTAGATGTTACACACAGGATTTGGAGATAGTTTATTAATCTTTTCTTAAGTGTCTGAAGAACGCCCATTAAAACTCATGAAGCAGATGCTTAGGAGGCACAGGTCTAATTTTGGTTAGAATAAGAGTCCTCACAGACTAGACTGGCTTCTGAGTAGCACGTGGGAAAGTTTTCTTTTGGATTCTTCAAAGAAAATGATTGAGAAAAATGAACTATTGGGACTTTCAGCCAAGATATGCTGAGGCACCGAGATGTGTAGCTGTATGGTTTTCTCAAGGCATTGAGAGAGCTTTTCCTAGGTCATTTCATCGACCGACATAAAGTGGCTAAATTAATCATGTTATTATGTTAGAATGGTTATGTTTTCTGACTTTCAATTCTATTGTGAATTTTATTTCTTTCATTGGTATTGACGGATCTGATTTTTCTCCTGTAGGATGTTCCAAAGTGTTCTCTTTTCTCATTCTGAAATACAAATTCTGCCAATTTCCCTAAACTCTGCCCTTAAGAAAAAGGCACGCATTTGTATGAACCCTTAACATACATCTCAGACCAAAGAGATGCCATTATTGATGAATTGCTCGGTTTCAGTTCAGTTATACGTGCGGGAAAGGAAGCTTTAGGGACATGTGAACATTTGCTACATTTCAAAATTAATATCATAAGCATTTGCCTATGTAAAGGACCAACACTATTCAAAATGTCTCCTGTTGGGCAGGAAATCCCTTTATAAAGTTTACTTTAGGGTAAGGAAAGCAGGCACGTTACTGGTGGGTAACAGGTAGCATGAAAGCAGTGAGTCCTGGGTCTGATAACCATGTTGATAGGCAGGCCTCTTCCCCGGCAGTGTCTCAGCACCAACGTTCAGATCTGATCAGGACCAGAAGAGCTCCGAGGCCAGGGCTGCAGCAGCCTCACCACGCGCTCAATGGGAAGCGTTCTCTAGTAGTTGGAAAGTGAGCCCCCCTTTCCCTCTATGTCACTTTATCTTTCTGAGAGGCACACACAGCGGTGTTTAGCTCTGAACCCTGATCACTAATCAATGTTGTGTGTGCAGTATCGATCAGCAGGTGGATGGAGGGGTTAAAGTGCTGGTGTGGTTTGCATCTCTGTCCCCCAAGACCGACCTCCACAGTCTAAGGTGTCTAACAGCTGCAGGACTGTTTGGTGCCGTTTCAGGTGGCACCCTCCCCGTGGATGGGCAGAAGCAGAGGTCTTGCTGCCCTTTCTAGACAACTTTCCGGAAGAACCAACTGTATTCGTCCCCTTCCAGGAGGCTGATGGAAAGAAAACTCACTTTTCATGTCCTCCCTGGTGGACAGCTACGGGACGACCCGGTTTTGGCTGAGTGTCTACAGGGCTCTTTGTTCTGGTTTATCTGACCTGTTCTTTTTCCTTTTGATAGATCTGACAAATGTAAGTCAAGCTAAAGCACAAGAAAGGAAGACACACAGCGTCTCCTTAGAATGAAAAAGTCCTTCCCAGACCTTGGTAAAAGAAACACCTAGCATGGAGGCCATTGGTGCGAGGGCTCAGCTGTCGTTTCTCTCTCAGAGGAAAGGACAACAGTGATTGCACAGAAACGCACAGCCATCCCCGGGGAGAAGAGAGATTCTCTACCCGAATGCAAGGTTTGCTTTTGTAGTTGAAGTATTTTCTTTTGGTGATTTGACATATTGAAAGAAAGAGCCTGTACTTTAAAGAAAAAAAATGCCTGTGAGCTGGAGATGAAGCTTGGCCCTGGGTTTGATGCCAAGCAACACACACACACACACACACACACACACACACACACACACACACACACACACACTCACACACACACACTCGGGCTTTGGTCTAGCTCTATAGTCTGATGTTTTCTGTCTATGTACTATATAGCAAGTTAGTTGATGTCTCTTATGTTTCCTTCTTTGTAAAAGGGAATTAATAATAATTCTCTTATTGGAGCATCTGAAAAAGAAATAAGATGATATTTATGTCAGATGTGGTGGCAAACATCTGTAGTCCCAGCACTCAGGAGGGTGAGGCAGCACTCAGGAGGCTGAGGCAGGAGAATTGCCATAAGTTTGAGGCCATCTTGGACTATAAAGACCCTGTCTCAACAAACAAGACAAAAAAGAGAAATACATAAAAAGATGATGGTTATGAAAACAGGAGGCATGTGACAGTTGGAGGCACTTCAGTAATATTACTTTTCCATGCTACATGCTAGCTAGAGAGTAATGTGTTGTTTTTATTTAATAAAAGAAAGTATTATATCTAAAGTAAACGACAAGGCATGGAGTCTGATGGATTTTGGTCACTTTTCCTTTTGAAGGATACTTGATGAACCCGGGAATTACTTTGTTCTATACAATATGGTTTCGTACTCTGGTAAAATAGGAAAATCACACTTGAAATTCACTTTTTTCCTATTGTCAGTTCACAGAGTGTCTCACACTCACATCTGTGAAGGGTCTTTGAGATCGAGGACTGAGGAATGAAGAGTCACTCTTTCAGATTTGCTTGGGACACTTTCCAAGCAGAATCCAGAGGACCCGGTGTGAGTGTCAGGGACTCAGTTTATCACTGGTGTCATCACCCACAGGGAACTTACCGTAGTTCTCCAGATGATCAGGAATGTTCCCTAACATCATGCCCAAAGTGCCACTGACAGGAAGGTATTTAGAGTTTTTCAACTGCTGTGAGCAACTCTGATTGGAGTTTACCCGATTATAACTCTGAGACCATAAATGTTCCAAATCAAAATAAAAATTTCTCTTTATCCCCTTTGAGAAAGCAATGCCGGCATGCATGGGGAAGAGGGAAAACCTGTCTATGCTGAGGAACCCTTCTCAGTCTCAGCTCAGGTGTGGCGTGAGGGAGAGATTACTTGCTGTTGCATTGCCAATGACGTTAGATTCTAGTTTTCAATACGGCTTAACGATGTTGACTCGTGTCTGGGGGAGATTCTCAAGACAAAGCCTGGTGGAGAGCAGGAGCAGCGAGACCTCGCATGGCACCTCATCCTCATCCTCTAGTCTATCATGGCCTTTGTTACTTTTACTCTCTCTCTCTTTATCTCTGATGCCCAGAAAGCTAGTTAACTAGAGTTCTGTTGTTGTGTGAGGTTTATTCATGTCCCCAGGAAGAAGGATAACTATCAAACCACTGAAACTTCATGATGGGTGTTTATTACTCAATCTTAGTCATGTTGGTGTCTAGGGTTTGGTGTGCCAGTTGGTGGCACAAATGTGCCATCTCTGTGCCCTCACACCCAAACAGCCATTTCTTTACTAGTATGGTAGTGATATTAAAAAAGAAAAAAGTTTTAAAAAGTGACTTATTTTTATTTTGTGTGTATGGGTGTTTTGCCTGCATGTATGTCTGTGCACCATACATATAATGCCTGCCCAGGCTAGGAGACGGCATTGGATCTGTAGAACTGGAATTACAGTGGCTATGAGCTGGGAATTGAACCCTGGTCCTCTGGAAGAACAACAGGCCAGGGCTCTTAAAGCACCAAGATGTCTCTGTAGTCCTTGATGGGTGTTTTGTTTTGATGATGAAGTTTAGATGGGAGTAAGGCTGAGAAGTCATCACAGAGCGTGGTACCTGTGGTGGTGGTGAGTGCTCAGGAACTGTAGTAGTCTGCAACTGTGCCCTCCAGTTTGGGTGCTGAATGTGCTGGGAACACAAGACTGAGTGTGGTGCTTGCTTCTGCGCCACAGCGGAGCCTCCTGGGTGTTAGAAAGTTGATAGAGGCAGGACTGTGCACGATTCATTTGTTTTTATCCCCTGGATGTATATAGTAACACAGACACAGAATAGTACTAGGTATATAATAAATATTCAATAAATATTTGTAAGTGAAGTATATTTGAGGTAGTTATTAGCTCCATCACCTAACATTGTGAACCATAGTTAATCAGTTGAGTTAATAAATTTTATAAATTTTTAGTAAATTTTATATAGTCATATAGATATAAAATTGTAAGTATCTATAAACATGCATCAATTCCTTCATTGTGTGTAATAGGAAACCATGGAGAAAGTTCTTGAGAAAAAGAGAAAGAGGAATTTTCTGAAAGTGCCATATAATATCTTTGGGCTATTCAAATGGGCTTTGCAACTGTCTGAAATAGCTGGACCCAGGGTACTCAATTTTATTAACAATGGAGAGCTGTGCCCCAAAGAGCCTTTCACTAACTTTTGGGTTCTCCCAGCATCTTGCTGGTAGGCGTATAGGTTTTAGGAGAAAAGGCAGGACAGACTCACTTGTAAGCATTAACTTCTTGGTCTCTGCTGTAAATTGGGGCCCTGAAAATCTCCTGCTCCAAAAGGGACTCTACAACGTAGGCTCCTGTCTCTTCCAGCAACAGCAAGGGTGTGCACTAGCTGCTGGGGGCTGATCCTGAGCTGTCGGACTCAGACCGGGCAGCACAGTGAGACCTCATCTGAACAACAATAATGACATTCTCTTGTCAAAACCAGGATCCCCGTTCTGCTTGCACTCTGTTAACTCAAGTTATTCTGTAGTGACTCTTCTGGCTGATCTTTTACCGTTTTTTAACAACTAAGAGAATCCTCAATGTTCACTTGGTAACCAAACATTTACTACAGACCTTCTACAACTACTTAAAAAGCATTTTGCTAAAACAACATTTGGCAAGACAATTAAGTAACTTTTTGTAGAGAAGCAACATCAGGAAACTCATAGCTAGGAAATTTTGACAGTTTAATATATTTTAAAGGATACTCTCTCTTGTTTTCTGAAAAATAAATTCCTTTATTAAATTTTAGGAGGCAGAATGTTACTATTGTCCTTAAAAAATATAAGTGCATGTTCTTTTATTTTTATTTTCACTGTATATTATTTTGAGCATAAAGCATTTTAACTGAAAAGCCAGAAAGATCCCTTGAATAACAATTCTGAAGAGTTTAGACTTTAAGATAAATTCACAAATGCAACTCAAGGTACCGAAAATATTTGTATATGATCCCACAAACACCATGTCCACATCTAAATGCAGAGTAATTGAGTATGGTCTCATTCTAACTGACCAATCAATTCAGTCAGTTATGAAAATCTAAATTCTTCGGTAACTGCAGGGAGAATATGATTCGATAATCTAACTCTTGATTCCATTTGAGCCAGTCCTTAAATATTTAAGTCCATGAACATTATATTTGTGTTTTGAGGGTTTTTTGTTTGTTTGTTTTCTGAATGTTTTTACCGAATGTTCTTGTCCATGTTAAGTGTAAGTGAGCTGGGGGCATCTCTCAGTTGTTTTTGATAAAGAATGGAAACTGACAGGTAAGTATTGAGAAGACGGGACTGCACTGTGAACTTAAGACGCTGTACGGTTTTGCTGATATTAATCCTGGGGAACCTGAGGCTGTGGGCCTGTAGCCATGACTCCAGCAAGTCTGCTGTCTGCGTCAGGAAGGGCCCTGGTCTGCAAATCAGTGTCCCGTACCTTCTATGCTGACGGGAAAAGCACACACAATCTGGTGACAAGAAAAAACAGATTTGTACTTACAAAGTTTGAAAGTTGTTTTTCAAGACAGAGAACATAGCAGCTTTGCCCCCCCCCCCCCCCCGCTCTATAAATAGCTCCTGGCAGGCAGAAAGAACCCTGATTGCGGGAGATGAAGGAGAAGCAGCGGCAGGCTGCAGGCAGAATCAATGGCACGGTGCCAAGAGCTTCATCAAATGAATAATAGCTTCCACTTGACAATCAGTAAAGTGCCTCTTCTCCTACGGATTTAGTTTTTAATGATGATTAGAGAGGATGGGCCCCTAAAATTTCTCTGGTAGAAATGACCTCCTATTAATTTCTATTCCTTGAAATGCTGAATTTCAAAGCTCTCTTACAGCTGCACAACCGAAGGCACTGACATAAAGGAACTATTATCTTTGTAATTGTAGCAACAAGTACTAAATTCGTCATTGATTAGTGGAGACTTTGTAACTTCGCCATCCTTTGTTGCTCCAGTCCTCTGTTTGGTGGTGCTGATTTGCCTGCTTTGAAAGTCAAATACTGCGTTTTAGACCCAACAGCTATCAAAGTCATGTCCTTTGTTTTAACATAATAAATACTTCCTTATAACGTCTTACACTGATTGTTTTGCCGGGGTCAAGTTTGAACGGCTCATTAATTCTATGTAACCTTTTGTTTGCACCCAGGTAACAGCAAGATTCTAAACTACTCCTGCTTAAAATACACATAAGAGCAACATCTATTAAGAAAGGAACTTCACCAGGAATTTTTTTAAAATTGTAAACTTTTTTTTTCATCGATTCATAGAAAGTATGTTCCAAGATGAACCAGAAAGCTGCGTGAAGAGTGAAGACGTTTATGTTGATAACTACGGTGAGTCTGTGGGTTTATTTTGTCCATTAGGCTAGTGATCATAAACTAAGGCCATCACTTTCTGCTGTTCTCACCAAGTGGACAGTAACACTGTGTGTCTTAACAACGGCACGGGATTCATATCAAGCATAGACCTCGGAGCCTCCTATCAAGTGTACAGTACCATCCTGTGTCCTAACGAGGGCTGAGGACACATATCAAGCATGATCACGGAGCCTCCTTTGGGCTGTAATGTAAAGAGCACAAGAAAAGAAAAAAAATTTCTAAATTCAAGAGAATAAATGGCACTTTACAGCAGTTTTTGCTTGACCTTTGTAGCTGTTAAAAAGCAGCACAAAAAAAAATGCTTAGTTCAAAGTTGTTTTTACATTTTAGATATATTATCACATCTAAGAATTCATTGAAATATTTAAAGGATCTGAAAACTTGGGAGGGAAATATTTATTAAGAATTGAAAATGCTCCTGATCTCTGATTCAGGGGGTTTCCCAGTGATGATTTTTAATGTTCCTCAGAGCAATGAGGAGCAACCAAATTTATTGCTCATTTTGTTCAGTTGAAGAATTTCTTTATATATAAGACATTCTTTATTTTATGAAATCAAATCACTGGTGAGTTTTTGGTTTGGTGACCCAACCAAATCAAATGGTGGCAACCATTTCTAGTTTCTCTTTTGCTTAAAAATATACACCGTTCTGAGACAGCCAGGCTCAGAGGTTTCCAAGCCTAAAAGAACTTAAAATTAGTTAGCAGAACTCTGTCTTGTCTGAGACAAAATGTCTGTCTTAGTTACAGGTGAGGCAACTGTGTTAGGAAGAAATATGAGTGCAATTAGCAAGCCCTAACATACAGAAGAAAATGAAACACAGTTCCTCGTGGGCAAGGAGGTCATTCTTGCAAGAGAAATCAAGGATGAAAACATTTAGGTAAGGCTCCAGCATAGTCCGTTCTCTACAGAGGAGCCTGATGCTGCCAGACTCACTTGACTGCTTTAGGGGATGCTGGGAACACACATTTTTAATGCAGAGTGTTGGACAATAAACTTTTCAGCATTTGTGCTCTTTACATTATAGCCAAAAGGAGACTCCAAGGTCCATGCTCAATACGTTTCCTGGACCATTGTTAGTACACGATGTTGCTGTACACTTGGTGCAAAAAGCAAAGAAGTCATGGTCTTATCTTATGATCACTAGCCTAATGGACAAAATAAACCTGCAGATTCACCGTAGTTATCAACATAAACGTCTTCACTCTTTATGGGGCTTTGTGGTTCATCTTGGAAAATACTTTCTATGACAAAAATACTTTCCAGCACATTTCCACTACTAGAGAATGGCTTTGTTACCATGTGGTTTATTTCCTTATATATGAATGAAATACTTTTGCACTTAATTATTATATAGATATCCTATATGATAAGTCTATAAAACTAAAACTAAAATGTCTTTTTGTCTTTAAATATGTGTGTGTGTATATATACATATGTTATATTTGTTTTGAGTGTGTGTGTGTGTGTGTGTGTGTGTGTGTGTGTGAACAATGTACAGGAGTTTTGTGGGTCCTAGAACTGAACTCAGGTCATCAGACTTGGTGGCAGGTCCCTTTACCTGCTAAGCTACCTTGTAGCTCCCTTCTCTCTTAAAGGAAGTCAGTGTTTCCTTGATCATGATTCAATTACTTGTGTTAGTCTTTGTGAAGACACAGGGTATGCTGAGAGAAACCAGTTTGTCTTAAATTATTTAAAAATATTTTTGGAGAGAGTTTTTAGGATGGGAATGGGCTGGGCTAGATGTGGAGTGGTCAGTCCCAGGGCTTTCTTAGAACAGGCCTGTTCTAAAGCCATGTTCACTCTATCAGATGAATAATGCACATTCCTTGTCTGTTCTGTGTTTGTGTTTCTTCTTGTTCTCTTTGTAGTTAACAAACTCAGTCTGAAGTTTCTGATTCGGTTCGTTCACACCCCAGGGACATAGTCAGGAGTAGTTGAGTCTACAAGGTCCCGGAGGAAGACCGCACTCCAGGCCAGTGTGTCAGCGGCGTTGGGAGGCCAGGAGGGAAGTCACATTATTGCCAGTTTATTTCCCCATCAAGCAATTTTCTTTGAACCCTGTGAGGATTAAGGCCGATAAGGAGAAGGCATCTGGAGAAGGGACCGGGGAGTCTGCCTCCCATTCCCACAGCCTGCTGTGCAGTTTACTACCTGGGCAACTGGTGCCAGGCCTCACCTGATGCTAGGGTGGGGCTGGGTGGAAGCCCCCATGATGCACTGCTGCTTCCTCAGCCTGCAACCAAGGGGTACACACCTTTGTCACCCCGCTTCCCCAGGTTTAGGGAGGGGGAAGAAAGGAAGACTCTGGGAGAGGATTGGGGGCTCTGTAGTCTGTATGAACATGGACAGGCAGCTGGCCCAGGCAGAGTGTGGGAACCAAAAGAGCCAGAGCTAGCACAGTTCTGACGTGGCCATCCCCTGGGCTGTGCTGGTTAGACATCCTGAAGCTAGCTGTGAGTGGAGGAAATAAAGGAAAATCCCAAGCTTCTGTACCTTCAAAATGAGCACAGTCTTCATTTCCATACATATACATATTTTGTTACCGTAATTCCTTACTTTTAAACTTTATTTATTTATTTATTTATTTATTTATTTATTTATTTATTTAGTGTGTGTGTATGTGTGTATGTGTGCGTGTGCGTGTGTGTGTGTGTGTGTGTGTGTGAGCGTGAGCGTGTGTGTGAGCGTGTGTGTGAGCGTGCGTGCGTGCGTGCGTGCGTGTGTGTGTGTGTGTGTGCGCGCGCGCGCATATGCTTTGGCACATATGTACAGGTCAGAGGGCAGCTGCTGGAGTCAGTTGTTTTCTTCCACCATGTGAGTAGATTGAACTCCCACTGCCGGCCCGGCAGCAGGTGCCTTCTCACCCACTGAGACGTCTCTCCAGCCCAGCTGTCTAATTTTATGCCCACTCACTTGAGTAGAGGTTCTTCACCTAAAGCAAAGATCAGTTCTTAGTTTCCGGGGTTTTTTGTTGTTGTTGTTTGTTTGTTTTAAATAAGGATAATAATAAACACTTGCTTGGTCCCTGCAGGAGAACACAGGACCTTGGGAGGTTCCTCAGGTTGTAGGCCTTAGAGATACCATGCTTTCAAGTAAAAACTACACAAATACCCACATTTGACTCATCACCTAATCAGTGACTGTGGTGGGCTGAATGAAAATGGCCTACATAGACTCATAGGGAATGACATTACTGGGGTGTGGCCTTGGTGGAGGAAGTGTGTCACTGGGGGGTGGGCTGCGGCCATGCTTCCTGCCATGATGATAATGGATTAAATCTCTGAACTGTAAGCCGGCCCCAGTTTAATGTTTTCCTTTATAAGAGTTGATGTGGTCATAGTGTCTCCTCACAGCAATAAAACCTTAACCAAGACAGTGACCCCAAACTGTAGACTCTCCATTTCCCCACTGCCAAGAACAACCCAGCAGTCTTACCCCTTTTGGGCCTGATAGGAGTTTCTTTGGGATATCTGCCAAGGTATCAGACCACAAGGCCAAAGGGTATGTGCATACCTAACTTAGTGTCTGCCAGATTGGACGGCTGTGTCCACATTTCCACCTAGAGGGCTATGATGCCTCTCTAGCCTTACATTCTTGGCTTTATTCTATATTGGCCAGCTTGGTGGGTATAAGGGGCAAGTTATCCTTTTACTTTTCCTTCCAATGACTAATATATTTATCATCCTCTAATGATTTTAAAGTCTTTCAGATTTCTTCGTATGTGCGTCACATACCCATGTGTTTGAACACTTGGTTTTTAGCTGGTAGTGATCTTCAGGGAAGTTATGAAACATTCAGGAGGTGGGGCCTTTCTGGAAGGAGTGGGTCACTGGGGTGACGCCTTAACAGTAGTAGCCTGGCTCCTTCTGGCCTGGGCTTACTGCTTCTGACCTGCCATGGGTGAGCCAGCTGTGCCAGAAGCTCCCACTGTCTACGCGGCAGGCTCTGCCGTGGTACTCCTCTGCCTTGTGGCTCCAGCCAATTACACTAAGAGCCAGAAAGAACAAAGCCTTCCTTCCTCAAGTTGCTCTTGTTGGATACCTTGTCATAGTGAACACAGTAAATGATACGGAAAAGTGGAGTGAGAAGTGGGGCCGCTGCTGGCCTGTCCATGGGCCTTTGGAAATGGGTTGCAAGAGGAAGGCAAGGAGTTTGGAGCTGCTGACTAGAGACACCTCAGCGTGCCAGACGCTAAGCTTAGGGTCATTCCTGGGGGAGCTTGGAATACCAGATGTCAATAGACCTGCAGACCACGATACCAGACTCTGAGGCTTCCAGAGAAGGAGAATGCCTTGAAGATTAGGCTAAAGGTCACTTGTGTTGTATTCTGGCAAAGATTATGCTTAAGTTCCGCCCATGTCCTAAAAATTTGAGTGAGATGACATTAAAAAATAAATAGACTAATTTGATTGGTGGAGGAAATTTGAAGATAGCTTAGCATCTGGGCTGTAGCATGGTCATTGCTGGCTGCCTTTAGCCAGCTTTACAGTGAGAATTCTGAGCAAAATGAGGAACAGGAAGATGTGAAAAAAAAACATAAAAGTTGAGGACAAGGTGTCTGTGGCTCTGGACAAACAGCTGAAAATGAAAATCTTGCTGTTAATGTGGCTGCTGACCAAGCAGAGGTGACTGTGAAGAGATACAAACCATTACATTACAGAGACACCTTCCCTTCACACGGGACAATATAAATGGAGCCAGCAGGGTAAAAGCCCTACTAAGGCTCCAGAGTGTTATAGGTATACTTAATTTAAAAGAGGAATGATAAAAGACAGTGCCTGGGGAGACAGGGCCTCTGTTAGCAGGCTCTAAGAGGACTGCAGGGGGAAGGTTCATCTGTTTGGGTACTTGGAGGCTGCAGTTGTGATAAAAGGTTATGCATTATATTCTGAGCTGGCAACAGAGCTTGGCATCATCCGCATGGTGCTGGGTGCTGCTTTTACAGGCTTCAGAATGTAAGGAAGGCTTGTACCAAGGTTCCAGTGACTAGCCACCAAAGGAAGGTGTTCTTTTTTCACTTCTGTTGCTGTGATAAAATACCCTGACAAAGAGCAATTTAGGGAAGGAAGGATTTATTTCAGATTATAATTAGTAGTTATGGTCCATAGTTGCAAGAAGTCAGGGCACTCACGGTCAAGAGCAGAGAATGTATATATGTTTCTTTTCTTGCTAGTGCTTAGATGGATTTCTCCATTTTTACTCAGGCTTGGATCTCCTGCCCAGAAAATGAAGCCACTTTCAGTTGACTGGGTCATTCCACATAAATTAATAAAGGTCAGACAATCCCACACAGCCAACTTGATCTTAGTGGTCCCTCACTGAGGCTCTTTCAGGGCAATTCTAGGTTTTGTCAAGTTGACTGTTGGAGCTACCATCCCAGAAGGTGGTGTGTGACAGGGTCACACTCCCTGAAGAGGCCCTGAAAGGCTCTGTGAAGTGTTGACTATGAGTCCAAAGTTTGTCATAGAGACCCCTGCGCGTTGGGGTTGCAGGAACGTGAGAGGTCTGCTAATGAAAGACAGAGCGCATGGGTGCTGCAGGGAGAAGCGCTGTGGGTGGCGCTGCCCAGGCCCAGCGGAACTCAGGCGATGCCGAGAAACGCCCACAAGACGGACGCAGAACTGTGGGGTTTGGTGTTTGTCTTGCTTCCTGTGCCCCAGTCCCTCCACTGTGTCATACCATATAGGAAGGATTATCTACAAGAAGTTTCTTGATTTTACTGGGCTAGCAGCTAAGATCTCAGATCTTAGAGCCTTGATTCTCAGAGCCCCTGGGCTTTTGAACAATGCTGGGACTGTTCGGAAACTCTTGAAGTTGAACTGGATGGATTTTATGTTGTGGGATGGTCATGATGCCGTGGGGTAAGAGTTGGAGTGT